CCCCCCCCCCCCATGAAGGCCCAATTTTTCAGCACAACGATAAACTGTAACAAGTAACAGCTCATTTGGTGAATTAAATGGCTAAATTCCCTTTTCCTCTTCCTTTCTGACCTTTTGAATTTAACCAAAGCAAAAGCAAAAACTGCACCTAAATGTCCAAAAGTGGCGTTTGATGATTGGTCGAGTCATTAGAAAGCAGCAGGATGCGAGTTTCTATTAGCGGCATCCATCTGAACACCAGAGGACATGCAATGACTTGCAGGGATTTGCACAATTCCCCATGTCTCCTCTGACCTCTATCTAGTGTGCTTAAGCAGGGCCCCCGAGAAAAGCTTGACAACAACATTCACTCACTTTATTGCCATGGGACTACAAAGCATCAGCTGCAGGACACTAATTCATAGTTGGGCTACATTTTGCATAAGAAACTAAATTCATTTTAAAACCATCACTATAATTGATGGTAACCTGGCTCCAGAGGCCTGTGCTGTAGAAGGGGAAAAGGATCTCAGGAGAGTAAAAAGGAAAAGAAATACAAGACAAGCCTTTCCAAAAAGTAATTTCCTTACACTTGGACCATATAATACAAAGCTAAGCCGAAATCTCATTTTTTGAAGATTGAAAGACACATCTGTATCAAATACCCTGCAGGTTTAATGGTGGACCGTGTAAGCTGATCCTCTACATTTATGGAGCCTCCTAAAAAGATTCAAAGAAATCTCCCAGAGCTCGGTGAAAAAGGAGGAAAGGCCACGTTATCTGAATCGCTCAGAGGAGGGAGGCACATTTAACAGAAACAAAAAGGTGGAGTAGATCATTTTAATTCCATCTGTAAGAAGGTACAGGTATGATAGAGGTGATGAACGCTTCCATGCTCACAGCCATTTGTATTATTAATGCGCCCAGCTGTGCCGAAGACAATCTAAGTAAGAGGGAGTCATAAATACATTCCCGGAACTCAGAATGGCCACAGACAAACTCTCCTGTCCACACTTGGAGGTGAGAGTCCCACCTTTGTTCAGCTACTGTAAAACACATTTACAGAAAGACATCAGGATTGGTGTCTAATATACAGTCATCAGAGGCATTATCTTGTGCCACCAGCGAACAATCCGCGCAGCTTCCCTGTTTTGCATTCATTTATCATGACCTCATTTCCTGAGTACATTTCAAGCCACTCAATATTTCATAAGTAAGAGTTGTAAGGAAAATGTGTCATGTTTACTATCTGGCACTGTGGGTGAGACATCCATATAAAAACAGAAATTCTGGCATCAAAGTTCTTTTCTGTGACAAATAAAATTATCTTTTATGGTTGTGTGATGGTTTCATGTTCATTTCCACATTCATAGTTTTTGGTTCACATGCAGTCCAAAGGCAATATGATTTTAAAAACTAATTTAGGCAGACGATCTTACTTGGTGAGTGTATTCGCCTTGATGTTGGTCACAAACAGCACAATAGATGAATGTGGATGATTACACTGGATGGGAAATGACTAGCAATGAGTAGCTATTTCCTTCTCCTCCACATGCAGACACACAAACACACACTCAGAGGATACATTATATCGCTCCTGTGCATACTTCCTCCTGGCTGAACATCATACAGCCCAATCCCCACACAACCTGCCTGAGGCCTCCCTGTCGGCCCATCCTCTCTTCCACAGAAACCGGCCCTTATCAGAGCTCCCTCCTCCTGCCGCATGTGGCCATGTGTCCTGGAGCACCGTCCGCTGGCCGAGACGGCACAGTTCCCACAGTGCTCCACGGGAGCACCTCTTGCACGCCCGGTCAGCCGGCGAACGTGCAGCGTCAAGATGACATGGCCATATGCTCATACCCCTCATTTCCTCACACCAAAGTGATTCTCTATCACTTCATCTGTGGTGTGACTGAGGATTTCTGTCACTTTGCCCATGGTGTGCGTGTCTGTCTGCGTGATTCATGACATTTTGACACTTTATCAACATAACTGAGGAAGCTGTCAGGTTGGCCCCTGAATCACCTTTCACTGATGTGTGTGACCTGATTGATGCATCACTTGACTTTACGTACATATTGACCCATGTGTGCACTGTACTCAGGGGAGACACTTAGTCTCTCTGGCTGCCATGTCACATCAGGAATCGGCAGAGCAGAGAAGAAGACGAGAGAAGAGAAGAGAATATCACAGATACACCATGTTCCATACACACAAGCTGTGCTGACAATTGCAAGACCAAGTCACCAGTGGCAATACTGGTTTGTCTTTACGCCTGTAAGTGTTACAAGACCAACAGTTCCCACTGGTGTACTTCAGTGATTTCAGTTTAGTTTTAACAATAATTTATATAGTCTCAATTAAATTCTGACCTGCGAATAATGATGATTTTCATTATCAATTAATAAAGAGAATATAGAAAATACTGAAAAATGCTTAAAAAAACTTCCAAAGGGACGTTTTTTAAATAACTCGTTTTGTCAGATAAGCTGTCAAAACCCAGAGTGTTTTGATTTCTAGTGATGTTAAACAGAAAAGCAACAAATCCTCACAAGTTGAAAGCAGCAAAACTTTTGGACATTGTTTCAATACATTTTCAGCTAATTTTCTGGTAATTGGAAAATCAATTAACTAATTGTTCCAGCCTTAAAATAGGGCTGCAACAATTATTTTCGTTATCGATTTAATCTGCCAATTATTTTCTCAATTAAGTCATTCAACATTTTGGTTAGAAGATACCAAAAAATAGTGGAAAATATCCGTCATGATATTTCATTTACAAACATCGGGTCAACAAATTGTTTCAGCTCTACACTATAGATTAGGATAGTAAATTAGCTTAGTCTCCACCATTGCTTTGATGGTACTGTTGATATTAACACTATTCTGTTTTTTCCATTTAATTCCACTTCCATTGACAGTGTCAGATGATGCATGCTCACCATGTGCAAGCCATGCAGGATCTTCTTCGCACAGTGTAACAGCTTATCCTGTGTTTGTATTCCTTACACATGCAAATTGCTGCTGTGGCTCGTGAATATGCGAATGACCACCTTTATTTGTTTGTTTATTTGTATGTTTGTACAGTGTTTATCCGAAATGAAACTACAGCACATTCCTTGTCAGTGGAGCAACCTCTGGACAGGCAGTGTTGGGAGACAGGGAGATTAGATTAGCTGCCACCAGGATGTTAATAAATTAATGAGAGACGGTAATAGAGAGCAAGACTGTGTTTGCAAGAGAGAGACAGATAGAGAAAGCAGGGAGAGGATTTTAGAAGCATAAAATGCAGGGTGATTTCACTCATGAGGGAAGTTGAGTGGAGAACTAACAGGAAGTCTTTTCCCTCAAGACGAAACAGAGTCTCGTTACTGTAAAAGCAACTGACCTTGTGGCTTCTGTCGGGAAGGAATGCACGCAGAGGAGACAGACACAGAGATAAACAGGAGCTCAAACAGTATAGAGGATCACCCTCCAGTGCACACCAGCTCTCCCTACCTCCCTCCCTCTCTCA